GATTAAAGCATAGTGATTTCTGTAGCCCATATCACCTAAGAGAGTGATATGACTATGACCAAATCCAAGTATTTTTTTTTTGTTGGGACTCTCCTAGATGTGACAGCTTTGATGCAAGGGTGTAGAAAGACATCTTAGTTACTCTGTCACTTTCAGTGACAGGCGCCAAGCTACCTGTTAGAATCCAAAGATGGAGTCTAACTGTGATGCCTCTCCCTTTCCTTTGGGACTATGGCTAAAACCTCTGTTTATGTGTCTACAAAAAGGAACTGTCTTTACACAATCACGTTTATGAGCACAATGACAAACTGGAAAGTGAACTTCCACTTCAGAAGAAAAACCTCTGGTTTTACTATTACTATGCATTTGTCTGGGGTTCTCCTGCCATATAACAGAAGCATTTGTTCTCAGTTTAGGCACCTGGATGTCTCTACTGGGCTTTTATGTGCAAGTCTTTCATCTAAATTTAACCTGCTAATGATGGTCCCTCTACAATAAAGAGAGGGCATTTCAGAGTGCTGGACAACATAATTACTTATCAAGCTATGTATGTTCACATAAAGAACTGTCTTGATCAAGCTACATTTTTTTAATCATTAAAATTTATTTTTCATCTGCTTGCAAAGGCTCCTGTACTTACAACCAAACCTAATGATACCAGTTCCTGTATGAAACATGCCTAATATTTTATGTAATGGGAGGCAGGAATATTGCAATGGCTTTTAGAAGGGGCATGGTTAAACTGAGTCAGGCCCAGATGGTGGGTAAAGGTTCTATAAATCATGTGTTCTCCAACTTCTTCATTCACTGAGACAATATGGAAAAATCTGCTTTCTCAAGCAACCACTGTATTCCTTTCTATACACCATGGAGAAAAGTACTAGTTTTAGTCAGAATCTACAGAATACAGTTTGCAAATTAGTGCTATATTCAGATGGCTATCATGGAATTCTGACTCTTCCAGGAGGAAAAAAAGGCCGTTTGGTAACAGATCTATCCAGAATTAGGCAACAATAACTATTTATAGCATTAATTGTGAGGATTTCTGAAAAACAGAAATGTCTGATTAAATTAAAAGTGCTCAGCACTTCTTAATATCAGATCCATTATCATAATGTCATGAGCAGAAGCCTATGGAGCTCAAATGAAAGTGGTTATCATGTTTCTGGAGCAGAACCACAGGCAGTTTCATGACCACCACCACCCCATTTTGCATTGCTTTGCTAGTAATTTATTTTCTGCACTGAAGATGCACAATATCATCACAAAGAAGCACAAGATGGGATCCAGTCTAATTTCATACAAACAGTCTTGCCTACACTTGTCTTTGTTATTCACAGTTGTTAAATATAATGCAAAAATGACGTAACATGCTTCCCACTTCCAATTCATCTTCCATAGGTCCTTTTTTTCAGGGAAACCATAAAGGACAGAGATTCATTCTAGCACTCTTCCTGTCATTACAAATATGGGAGTAATAATGTACGATGCACACATAGCCTGGTAATCGTTAGGTGCTAGCCATTCCCGGCTGTTCTCAATCTGCAAATCTGGTAATGTGACATCTCTCAGCGTGGGAGTATGAATCCTCAGCTCAAGCTGTTGAGACACCTCCTTACAGTATCTAGTGGTTGCACTGAGGCAGTGTATTTCAGATGAGCCTCAAATCCTCAGGACAGGCTTCTGTAGTCTAGAAGTCTGAAATCTTCTGGGACAAATTTTTTACAAATGCCCCACTCGGCACCCAAATTACAGGCACAGATCCCTCCCACGTCTCCAATCGAAAGGCGTGGAGTCCATTCTCAGATGATGTAAGTTGGCTCTGCTGCACTAAAGCCAGAGAAGCCAAGGGTGATTCATACCAGCTGAGGAAGTGGCCTGAAATCATGATAACAGTCACCAGAAACTGCTTTTTAAAGCTATTCTCCACCATGATGGAAAGTGTAAGGCAGACAAAGTACTAAAAGCTTTTATGTTTAGAATTTCTTTGACAAGATATTTTTCTGAGGACTAAGATGACTGTTACTCCAGAAATGAACATCAGACCATACAGTGCGATTCTGGAGCTGTCAGTTTAACATTTGTAAAGAGAAAAATCATAGTGCAGCTCAGGCAATACTTTTGATATATAGAGAGACAAAGGTGCTTTAACTAATGTACGAAGAGTCTGTAAGAGTTAATCTCAGTATAGACAGGTAAAAGTGAGTGGATGATATATAAAAAAGTATTTGTGGAACTGTGTTTAAAATCGCTTGTGGAAGGGAATGTTATCTCAAATAAAGAATGGTTCTAACTAAGAACATTTTAAACACCATTTAAATTGTCACTGAACTGACTTTTGAGTTTGGTCTCATTTTCCCAAGATTATATTTTCATTGACTAAAGTATGACTTGGATTATCTGCCTCTGCAAATGAGGAAGAAGGATGAAAAACAACCAAACAAAATTTTTCCCTGAAAATCTGTATTAGTTGTCAGGAGATTTCGTCTGGGCACACAGGAACAGAAGAACACACATGCTTACTGGGTTTAAAGAGCTAGTGGAGAAGGAAAAAACAGCTTTGGTTTTAATGTATCTGCCTTCTGGGACTCCCCCAACCTATATGTTGTCCAGAGTGGCTCAGACATAGAAAAGTAGGAATGAAACACAAATTATTTGCTTCAGAAATTGGGAAGATGCAGTGGAAGAATTTTGACTTTGAGGGATGTTTCTGCATCAAATCTGCCTGGGTGGGGTCTGGCTGAAGAGGCTCACGTAAACACCTCTTTTCTTAGGATTGTATCCTAGGACTGTAGTAAACACTTTCCCAAGAGCAAGAGCAAAGTCCATCTGAGAGCCTTCCCCTTTTTCAGCTTTGTTTAGCTAATTAAAGTTTCAGGGTTTTAGGGGCCCTTTTACTGTTCCTAAGTACAACTCCAAGCACCTGGATTTCCGAGTCTTCCCTTTGCTTGTCTGCTGTCTTTCAGGAGTGTTTTGCTTAGAGTTACGGCTTCTCTTTCCTGCCCCCCTCCACTTAGTTTTCTGAGTCCTCCTTGGCCACAGTGTTGCGTTCAGTGTCAATTATTTTAATTTACTGAACACATCAAACAAGCTCCAGTTTCACTTGGTATTTCATCTTCCTTGAGAGATTTAAACTTCGAATCTCTGCTAAATTACTGAGGCAAACAATGAATTCAATTAAGAAAATTATAGTAAATGATGCTGATTCAGTCAATAACATCGCTTGCTACTTCTCAGAGGTTGCACTGTTTCACTCAGTGACCTCTTGTTCCATGTACTTGAAAAAACATCACTCCACTTCTTACGATCACTTGTCAATCTTCCATTCATTATCTACCTTCTGGTTTCCTTTCTTAAAAAGAAAAAATTTTTTTTTAGAACTACAGGAGAGTTGTCTGAAGAAAGAAATTGTGAACAGACTAAAATCATGGGCAGGATTATGCATGGCCTGGTAGGTATGTATTATCACATACCAAGAATTAACACATGCAATGTATATTAAGGACTGCATACATTCAATATCATTTTTGCTTTCAGTGGAAGAATTTTGTGATATACTGACATTTGATATCCCTATAAAAAATTTGGAACAGTAAGATAAAACAATTTAAATTACAGCTTTACAGCATTTTTATTTATATAATTGCATTTTAGATACTAACCACCTTACATTTCTGGGTTATTCTAATACTACCTGGTTGTGACACACTTCCCTCTGCCAGCATTAAAATGGCAAAAAAAGGAAAAGGCCAAAATGCAGCATAAAGAAAGTAACTACAAAAGGTGGTCATCTCTGAGTAGAACAAAAGATACTGCTTTGTGGTGTAACACCGAACAGAAACTACAAGTTTAGTTGTGTATAACATAAGCTTTCAGGTTTCATGACAAATCCATGAAACTTAGCTCTGTCTTATGCTTTTAGGGGGGTGGACACAGGCAGCCCAACCCTCTATATATGCAATTCTGCTCTGGCAGGCGGAGAACCAGGAAACAAACCTCTTCTGCCAAAATCTGATATCCATATCTATCTGTGTTCTGTTAGGCTATTCTTTTAAACACTTTCACAGAACAGAGATGCTTTGCTGAGGCTGAAACACAAATCACAAAACCTGGCGTGATTCCCCCAAATATACAAAGGAATACAGAAATGCAGATGATCCAACCACAACTTAGGCAATCCTTTCTGTAGTTGGTCCAATTCAATCCAATATATTTCTGCAAAGCAAAGCCACTATTGTGGTGAATAATTTCCTGATAGTGCAGGGGTATTTAAACAGACTCATCTTTTCTAAATGGAGCCTTCACCATCTGTTCTGCCCTTTTATTACAAATAGAGAGGGAACCTAACTCACTGTATCAGCACGTAAAGCCTAGCATCAAAATGATTCAGATGTACGTGTGTGCTTTTTATGCACCTGGTATGTTTTCTCTCATACCAAACACAAATCAGTAGGGAGACCTGTCTCTCATAACCTAATAAATTCTCTGATCTAGTGCCTTTATTTCTTTCTCACTACAGCAGAAATTGATGGCCAGTAGTTTGCATTTTATTAGGACAATTATGACCCTGCTGCTGTCCTGCAGGAGTTACATCTTTATTGGGCTGACATTTTGCGACACCATTTACCTCTCTACAGAAAATGAGCCTTGATTCAAATTCTTTCCCTCTTCCTGGGCCTACATACGCTTCATAATGGAGAGAAATCTTGTAGGAGATGTGCTGAGGAGGTCTCAGACTGCTGAAAAGCCCTGTTCTCCCCCAAAGGATGGCACACAATCTACTTGAGACCATTTAGAGAAGAAACATATTCTCCTCAGAGTAGCACAGACCAGAAACTCCAAAATGCATTACACTGTATCATTTTTACTGCTTTAAATGACAAATTTTGCAGTAGGTTAGGAAGGGAGGTGCAAGTTATCACATCTCATATACTCTATACCAAGAGACTGATTTCAGGCTCAATGCAAATGTTAATTCAAATAAATCTCTCAGGGCCTACCTGTGTTGTAGCCCCTCCCAAGCGCTGGCCAGGGCCGATGATTCTTCCAAAGATTGCCCAAATACCAATCACTCTGGTTCTCCACCAAGCCAAGAACCTGCTGCCCTGGAAATGACCAAATTGCAAAAAGATCATGAGACAAAAGACAGCCAATCAATGGAAAACAAAGACAAAATCTGGAGAGGGACAGCCAGCGGAAAGAGAAGACAGAAGTTCAGGTGCTGCCTTCCTTTCACACACTCGGAAGATGCCTGCTCATGTAACAGACAGCAAGCCTGGCGCGACACACTCAGCACGGCTCATTTCTTTCCTTCTCCCCTGGCTAGTCTGAGTAATTAAACACTGTGGGAACCTTTGTCATGCTGACAAAAATATATCACCCAGACAAATCTGAATGCTGCTTGATTTTGGAATACAATGATGGAGAATCCTCCTAGTGAGAAGTGCAGGTAAAATGAATATCTAGCAAGAAGATCTGTTTATACTCTGATATAGATAATAAAATTGAAGAACAAGACTAGTATAACAAATTATTCTCTTCCATTGCCCGCCTCCCCCAACTAGTTTCAAGGATTTTTTTCTCGGTCACAAAGTAAATCCCTTTTGCAAAGGAAAATATTGGATCTAAGAGTTTACCAACATAAGAAAGTTGCACTGTTTTAATTTAAGAGAGTAATTTAAAAGTCATTTAGGTAAGCCTGTGTGGAATGCTGCACAGAAATTATGATTTCAGTTTCCAATGGGCTTATTTTGGTTTAGCTTACATTGATTAGCAGCTGGCTTCAGCTAGAGTAAAACTTGTTTTAAATCCAATGTGTCTAGAAGGTTTGCACTGCTTAAAAATCAACTGAAAAGTGAATGTTTGTATAGATAAGGACTTAATTATCTATCCTGAAATGTGCTGTATAAAATGTAAAGTGCTGTATAAAATGTAAAAAGAGGAGTGATTGAAATGATGCTCTGGTGACAGTGGATGGAGAGAAGGGGGAAACTGCATTTGGATCTAGTCAAAGAAAGGAAAGGGAATGGTGTTTTGACAGAAGGACCTGCTGAGTGAGGGCACTAAGACTGGGACCGGAAATTATTTTGCAACCTTTTGAGAAAGTAATTAAGCATCATGCTCTGGAGATACATTTTTAAATCCCAGCTATGCTTATAAAACTGGGTGTATAGTCAAAGCAGTGCACTGAAAGCATTACATGATCACTATATGTTGCTTATGTAGGACCATAGCCGTATTGCTAGAATTTCAGTATGGCCCAAGCCAAGATTGGGCTGAGAAGCAAGACACAAAGACAGAAGTGATTAATTCAATTTTATTATAGCTAGGAAGACGTTAGGATAGGTCAGGTGACTGTGATAATCTCATGTGGTATCTCTAACTCAGTGGAACATCAGTAACCCCCCATATGTGTCTCAAATGCTGTTTCAAAGAGTGAGAGCAGCAGTCAGTGGCCAATGAGCATAACAGATAAATTAGAACATTACAAAAGCGTTCTAGGGGTGAATGGAAATCAATCTATGCATAACCTTGAAAGATTACCAAGTCTACTCCACAACAATGTTCAAGATCATGCTACTCTATCCGAATCACAACATGGCAGTCCTCACCAGACCTAATTTTCTAATGATGTTAGAGGCAGATGCATCCTAAGCAACTGATGATTTATTTGTTCATCAAATAAACTGTAGCATCTCTCAACCTGTGAGACACATGGAACACACTAGACAGCACATGAGGTGCCAAAAGCCATATACTGTGAGGACATATGAAAGGGATCTCAATTGGCTCAAACAAGTCTTAGCCAAAAAAGGTTTAAGGGGACAACTTAAACAAACACTTGTTGATTCTGTGCTGGAAGACTGCCTCTTTTTTCTAACCACTCCCTTACAGATGAGGTAGAATAAATCAAAATAAGCAACTACCACGGCTAGTAAAGGATGCGAGAAAAACCCAATAAAAATGCAGGTGCAGCTGGCCTGGAATAGATTGGCACAGCTGGTAGTAAGAGAGTGACCCTGCTCATATTCTAACAGCACATTTCACAATTCAGCAGTCCACAGATCCTTCTCAGGATAGTACTGCTACCACCAAAACAAATGTCAGAATTCCAGCTGCAAGAAGCAGATACTGAACTTCCTTACCATGGAGTATCAATCTGCTTTCATTATTTTAGCCCCATGCATTTTCCAAAGCAAAAGCTTAGCTGTCACTGGGAAGAGGTTTCCATGGAAAAACAGATACTTCTGAGCCTGACAACTCAATGCTTTTGATTCTGTTTTCACTTCATAGATTTTTGGTGGCTAACGGAGGGGAAAGCGTTATCACATAATTCAGGCATTGAAGGGGACTCCAGATCTCATCTTAGCTCCTAGCGCAGATACTGATTTCTTGGGTGACACTTGACAAGTGACATAATAGCCTCTTCCTCGATTCTCCCTTAATAAAAATGGGGGTAACAATAACCTTTTATGCCTCTCCCATTTTGCCTGTCTATAATATTGCAAGCATGAGTGCTCTGAGGTAATTACTGTGTGTTAGTTTGTACTGAAAGCTTAACAGCAGCTGCATGTGGTCAGGCTGAAGCTCCATCTAGCACAGTACTCTGTCTGCAGTGGCAGGAAGTAGCAGCTGTGCAGTAATGGAGCACAACAGGACAGCTGCATGGTGACGCTTCTTAATAGTGGTCCTTCAAGTTCTGGTGACTTGTGGCACATGACACATCTGAAGAAGTAACAGCTTTTATTTAGGTTGAGTCTGGTATCTGCTAGTTTCATTTGGTGCCCAGTACAACCTTGGTGCCTGCAAACAATATTTTCCTATTCTGCCCTGGTTTTTTCCCAGTTTCAGAGAATTCTATATTCTCTAATGTCTTTGGTACAAAGGACCCTAACCCCACCGCCTGCCTTGAGGCATTTTGCTATTACAAAAAATAATAGCAGTAAAAAATTATAGTTTTTACAGCTACTTTCAACGTCTTCTGTAGACTACAGTAGCTTTCACATGACTCCACTGCAATCACAGTAAGAGCACTGGGTCCACATCAAATACTTTGGTTAAGTTGCACTTTCTGTGGTCCTCAGGACATCGGGCTGTTTCCAGAAAGGGAAAACAAAAAGACATGTTAGAGGGGTGGGAAGCAGTGGGACGCCACCTTTTGATCTCCCATGGCCAAAGGCTGAGCTGATATCTCATATATAAACATTAGAAGTAAGCAGTAAGCAATTTCTACACTGCTGAAGTTATTAAAGGAGAGCAGAGCAGAACTCTGTCTTGCTACTCCTAACTATTTTAACAGCCACGGTTTAGATCATTAGGAATGTAACACAGACATGAATTCTAGAGCCACAGCCAAGTACTGCCAAAGCAATGTACGTCTTCAATGCAAGCTGAAAGAACAGAAGAAGGACTGAACAACAATTTAAGATTCAAGCTTGTCAGGAATCAGGAGAACCGCAGAGTTGTGCTCCCAAAATGGGACACAGAAATAGAGAAAAGGGGAAAAGGTACATATTCTGAATGCTGGAACATTTCTAAATACGCCAGTACAAAGTCTGATGAACATACTCAGGACTAGCAGAATCTACAGTGGTACAATGAAGCTGGGTTATTTTCTGCATGACTTGGAGTTAAAATCTTTCATTAATGTCCTTTCCCTCTTCTCCCCTTCTGCTGATTTCTTTATCTTTTAAACATCTGCATAAGACGCCCTTCCTTTCTGAAATGTGTGAGGCCACATCCTTAGCTGGAATAATCTGCATGACTTCAATGAAATCAGTGTACTTATGCTGACTGATACCAGCTGAATTTGTTGCACTTCATGGTAAGTCTTCCCTGAGTGACTGACCCCTTCTCTATGGCCTTCCAGTCCCTGATCTTGCACAGCTTCTAAAATCTTTCACTTCTCCTGCCACATCTCTCATCCACTTCTTCAGATCACTGTCAAGTTCAAGTTTTTCATCCCCACTATTGATGCCCTGTGTAATTCTTGCACTGTCTCTATCAATTCATGTTTCTTCCTGCTCTCAAATTCACTCCTCTCTTCTACTGCCATGTCCTCTCTCATCCCTAAAAAAGACTCCATATTCTCATGCAACAAATGTCCTGAGTTACGTCTGAAAATTTATTTCTAGCACACAAAAACTCAACACTTCCCTCTAGAAAGTTTTTAGAAATTTTACCATGAATCCAGTGTAAAATATGCACATGAAATCTTGCATGTGCATTGTAAAACAAGCCTTCCTGTCCTCAGAAACACAGGATGACATTTCCTCATATGCCTGTACAGTGCAAGATACACTATGTTCAACAGAATTGAATACTTCAACCTCTACAGTACATTTATTTCACAGGTGTGCATACACATAACATATATGCATTTTAGGTGCATGCACACATACACATGTCTATACATATACACACACACATATACAGGCATAAAAATACACTCTGTGTGTGGGTATAGGCATGTACAGGAAAAGGCAGTCTCTACTGTGAAGAATTTACCTTTTACATGTGGAAAAATCAAATTTCAGGGAAAAACGCCTCCTGCACAAGTTTAAATTTTTATTTGATATCTCATTTGCATCAAATATGTTTCTGTTTCCCAACAGCCATTATCCCTTCTTAGTGGACTAATTGCTCATAGAGAGAAACTTCATGGACAGTTATTAAGGAGCAAATTGGTTGAGAAGGAGGCCAAAGAGTAGCTCACTAAAGGTACTACAGGACTGTTTCAGGAGAGCAGAGGATGGCTCTATGGGAGCATCCCATTGGATAGCACACTGGTGCCAGGAAAGGAGGAAAGGAAACAGGCAGTGAACACATGATAAGAAAGGAGGGTAGATAAGTGAAGGAAAGGTGGATACAGTACATCAAGGGCAGGGAAAGAAAAGATGGGCTAGGTTGACACAGTGAAGGAGAAAGGAGCTATTGAAGAGAATAAAGACACTAGCAATTCTGGAACAAGGATCTAAAGCAATGGTGTCAGCTGACTTCTGGATGTACTCAGAGATGGTGATGTGTCCAGGGCAAAAGAATTTACAGCAACTTGGGCCAGAGAAGAATAACTCAGCAAGAGCCTGTACAGAAAGAAACATGACAA